TCTTCCGATTCCACCTTGTTTCTTTCCAGATATTAAATGCTTCCGGTTACCAACTAGCACTTGGACCTCGCTCCTTGTCGTCTGATGGCCATTCGATGGGCTATTCGATGGGCTATTCGATGCTTCTCGCTCGGCCCAACGAAATTGAAATAAATTGGAAATGGAACTGAACTTCATTTGGAAGAACGGGCAAGGTTGTCGTTGATTTAATAATTACACGACTGATTAATCGAGAGGTTTCGGAAGGAACCGAAGAACACCCCGGCAGGTCCCTCCTGGGGAATTGGAACGAGTGGCCACCAACCACGACCAGTCGGAATTTCGACGGAGAATCGGACTCTTCGTGGCCTCTAACGAGTATGAATTTTCAAACGGGAACAATTTAAATACGCAAACAAGTTGCGTAAACGATCGCGGAAGTGGACGCGTCGTTTTTAATGCACATATCGTTTAAACTTTCTTCGTTTAACGACACGAACGAATTAACAAAGGATTATATTAATTAAAAAGGCCGAATGCAGAGGAACGTGGGAAGCGTAATAACGAACGAACAAAACATTCTATTACTCGGAAAATCGCGGAACAAAAAGCAACCGACAGGGCCCATTGTGCTTCATCGAGCGATCCCGCTTTTGTTACTCGTTCCACGGTGCAAATTTATATTTATTATTTCACGGCTCCCCGGAGAAATAAACCGGCGCCCGTGGGCGCCCGATATTAACGAAACGAACGCGATCTCGATAGCCTCGTCAAGAATTTATCGATCGACAACGCACTTCCATTCTGTGTAAATGATTACGCAAACGGGCCATGCATTTGCATCGAATCATTGTGCGTTCGGGGAGCCGCGAACTTCGACACCGTAACAAAAGAAAATATGCCACCTCAGTTGCTTCCGAGCATTCGAGACATTCGTTCGAAATAGCTCCTACACGTTGGACACGCTGCTCTCCTTCCAAAACTCTGTACAGGTGAGCCTCCAATTTCGCCGACAAAATGGGTTCCGATTATTTTCGCCGATTTTTCCCATCTTTTCGGGGAAGATTCTCTTCTATCGCGATATCAGCGAGAAACTCACAGCGATAAGACTACGACGAAAGATCATAAAAATGCGATAATCGAAGAACGGTTGCCCCATTTTCTCCGCGACTTTCGATTTTCCCCGACGAAAGATAACTCGAAACGCCGGTCAACCAGAGTCCATGGCCACGATGACGCAGCGTTATAATTTCCACAGACTCGTGGAAGAGTGAAAATATTCCAGCTTGTACTCATAAATGTTTAAACGAGTCTCTAATCGAACGATCTTCGGAACCTTGGCGTTCGTCGTGAAACTTCCCTCGAACGTTCGCACGGTGAACGGAGTATCGTGAGACGAGAAACAACGGCGGGTACAGGCAACCGCGCGAAACCGAAAGATGACCGAGAAACCGGCTTTCCCGTGACGAAGAGAGAGAAAAGTAAGGTTCCGCGAGGACATCGACTTCGCCACAGCACACGATCGATGCCTAGGCCGCGCGACAGTTGCTTTTCCGTTTCCGTTCGCGAACGCGTTTCGCTATACCGTTCCGGTTGTTTTCCCCGTTAAACCGTGCCGCGAGACGATCCCATCGCGATCCAGGAGGCGATAGATCGCGCGAGGTCCACGCTCGTGAAATTTCCCCCTGTCCTCGCGATCGATCCGCGCTGCTCCATTTTTCCGACCTGCCTAGCCGACGCTTTCGTTATTTCCGAGATAATATCGGGAATATGGCATCGGATACGATAGGTAAGCGCAAAATCGATTACGAAACTATTTTCCCCGGTCCCTGGGAGTAATTTAAATCCCAGTGTAATGGAGTCTCGCGGAAGTAAGAGGATTACGAACGATAGACACACTCCCGTGTGCTTTTTGTTCTTCCAGATTTCCGGAATATTCAGCGAGAAAAGTCGAGCAGGAGAATGACGAAGACGTACACTTGGGAGGAAGTCGCGAAGCACAACAGCGACAAAGATCTATGGATGGTGTACCAAGATGGCGTGTACGACCTGACCAAGTTTTTCAAGGAACATCCAGGTGGCGAGGAAGTGTTGTTGGATCTTGCTGGCAAGGACGGAACCAGCTGTTTCGACGACATCGGTCATTCCGGGGAGGCTATACAGCTGAGAGAGTCGTACAAAATCGGGACGGTAGTCGGACCTACCCTCGCAGAGGCTTCCTCGAGCGGTATGTCTGCGTTACTATCCTTTCTCCGCTTATCGTAACGTTCCAAACGCGACTTAAAAATCTAGAGGCAAGGTATCGAGGAGAAATAGTTAGAGAACGAGTTTGATTCTATGTAGGTGGAACGGAAATTTGATGGATCTAAAAGTAGTATTAACGACGGGACGGTGTGTGTGTGTGTGTGTCTGTTGAGCAGGCGTGCAAAGCACGACGACGGACGATGACAACTGGGAGTACGAGCCGCCCAAGTACGAAACTTCACCCTGGCAGCCGGTGTTCATCGCAGCTGGTGTCGCCATTTATGCATTCATCATTTATTACTTCTGGTACTCGTAAGGCAAATAAAATTAAGAAGAATCCACGATCCTAACGAATAAAGCGCTCATTCATTCCGGGAGATAACGTCCGCCACGTGTGGATCATTCCTTATCCCTTCTGCGGTTTCTTTACTCGATGATAAGGAAACGGAGCGTGGAAAATAATTTTAATAATTTTATTAGTGGAAATCGAGTTCGAGGACTAGCAACCAACTTCCAAAATTCGGAGTTCGTATTTTTAACCATTCCCTATCCTTCCCTCCCACTCTCTCCTTTGTTTCCCATCGAACACGGACGATCGAGAGACCACTGAATTTCGATCGCGATCTATTTTTCGATATTTAAAAATATAGGCCCAACGGAATTATATTCTTCAACGTCTGGCCAAGCTACATTCAATCTATTTCTCGATATTTTGGCACGTCGGCCGGGCGTTTAAATTAAAATTCGTGTCACGAAAACTCAGCCGAGCAAGATGTGCTCTCCTATCCAGCCACGCGATCAATAAAACACGCTATTTTTTCCCTCCTTTTTCATATACTTCCTATCCGCGTAGAATCGTATCGCGACAACTGAAACGCTAATCAGCGTTCTTCGCGCATATTTAATTTCTCGCGGAAAAGGGGGGAACGAATAAACGAGAATAAAGGGAGGAAAAGAAAGGCGATTGGGGTACGTAATTGGAAGATAATTGACAGACGACGGACGCAAAGTGCAAAGTCAAAGTTCGCGGTGGAAATAATCCGTAGGTAACGCTACACGCGTAATCCCCGCGCGGCAGAGAAATTCCGCCGATGCGGCGTATTCGGCGAGCAATGGAGCGGCGGCCGTGAGCGAACTTCCTCGTCATCGTGACTGGCACTTTTCGACCGACTATAGCCGTCATTCCGACCTGAGAATCCACTCGGTTCGAGCTCTCGAAACCTGCAATGAAACTGCGCGGCAACCGAAGCAATCGAGATAACGTACCGTTTAAACGCGGCGTTAATTTTTCGCCTGTCACGCAGACGTCGCGGTTACGCGATTGTTTCGACGAAACGTTTCGGAATCCGCGAATGGAAACGCGCTCGCGAAATTTCCGATTACCGCGCGCAGTAGTTACAACCCGATCCCGTTCATGGGCGCGAGTACGCCTGGAATTTGCAGGATTCCGCGTGATCCACGCGTTTCCCGGTTTAATTAATCGGTGTAACGCGATTTCGTCGGCAACCGAGTTTCTCCAGCGTTTCTCGAACGCGTCAGTCGACCGAGGTTCGCGTCGCGAATTCGGTGAAATTTTTCCACACGAAGCGCAACGCGAGCGGAATCGCGAGGCCTCGACGCGGATCGTGCGCGAACTCAAAGTTGGACGCGGGTAAAGCCTAAAGTCGAACAGCGAGGTACACGCATACGCGATGACGGGGAACGGTGCAACGGGTGAGCGATAAAGCCGCATTCGCAATGGACGCGGTCAGCGCGTAGAGCGCTGAATGCAGTTGCATGCGGCTAATGCAGGTCCGCATGCGATGATGCGATCAATACCCAAGGTGAGTTCGAATTCAGGCTGATCCGACGTCTCCGCGGCGCTCGATTTGCGTTATTACCGGCGTCGCCTGGTTTTTCGCTATCGTGTACGCGGATAAACACGAGTTACAATGGCCAGACAGCGCGCCATGGAACGAGGCCGAAGCTCGCGGCTGTTATTTTGAAAAATAAAGTCAGAGATGGAGCGATGGTATCGAGTAGATTATCAAAAGTAAACCGAGTGCTGCTTGTTCCGTCTCTTACGTCATTTCCGCGGAGTTCGATGACCTCGCGAGCACCGTTCCTCCGCGAATACCGCAAAACCGTCCCACTTTCGTACCGAAGCTGCCCTCTCTTGCAAACGTGGCTTAACGTCGCGCCATTATCTCTCTCTCTCTCTCTCTCTCGCTCTCTCCCTCTCCCGTCCTTTTTCTTTCTCCGTCGCTGGGAATGTTTCCACGACACATAGAGCGGCAGAAGAAGGCGTTTCCACGGGCTGGTAAAACATCGTCGTAACGCGGTTTAAGGCCGATTCGCAACCGACTGCGACGTTATTAAAACATTCTCCATCGAAGAACATCCAAATAATTTCATTCGGCCTGTTGTCCGCGATAACCGCGTAATCGTCCGCAATACTTCCGCCCTGTCTCGTCGAACGCGAAACATGGTCCCTTTGGAAACGAGGCTTGACGCTCCGCGAGGAGTCCATCTTCCGCGAATCTTCTGGAAACTCGCGTCGCGATACGTGACAAAGTCGCTGCATCGCGGGAATTTTTAACCGAAGACCTAATCGAAATTATCGCCGACGAAATGGAACGACGAGGCCGATAAGGGGCTGCCATGATGATGCAAACTCCACGCGATGACGTTCCCTTTTTTTCAAACACACCGACCATGTGTTTACGCTGCTTGTACGCTGAAAACGTAGCTGCGGAACGTGGCTAATTTCACGTCCGCAAACAAAGTTTTTGCTCGCGCGTTTCCCGCTTGTTTCCATTCCGTGTCCTATATTCGAACAAAGTTATCGAGCAAAACAAAACGAAACCTCTTATCGCGATACATGACGGTGCGAAATCGGTGTGTCGTTTAAAATACTCGAGCCTCGAGAAACTCGCTATACGAAAGTTGTTCGCTCGAGAGGAGTGGAAATGAAAAATCGGGTAAAAAGAAGAAACAGATCGAAATTGAAAAATTTTTTATCAGTCTCGCAAACTTTCTTTCCGCGAGCACCGACGAAGGTTAGGATCGAGTGGTCTCTGCGTGGACTGGTACAAATGGCAGAGCAAGACGAATTGCTCTGTAACGTCCGAATGACCTCGGGGTCCATCGAAGGAGTGCTCCGTGGAACGATAATTGGGCGAAGAAACGCGGACCCACGCGACCAAACACGTACGTTTCCAGCGTCGGCACAGTGCTCGATCCTCTGGACGCGGCGACCAGAGACGAGAGGAGCTAGTACACGAGTGGGAGTCGAAGATGATAAGGGGCCCATGGTGGGGCAGCATCTAGAGGGGGCAAGGATAAAGCTACTACGGACTGACCTGGTTCGTGGCAGTGTTTGTGCCAGTGCAGCCTCGCGAGCAAAGTCGTCAGAGCGGATCGTTCGAGCATCGTTCCTCCCTTTCATTCGTTCGCGTTCTTCTTTCCTCGGCCCCTTTCTCCCACAAAGAGACAGGGAGTACACACACACGCATACACGCACACGTATACGCCAACGCGACGCCACGCCACGGGTCGCAGAGAATCGAGCAAGGAATCCGAGGATCGAGAGCAGCAGTAGAGGGACGAGAAACGACAGCGACCGAGGTGCGTTCAGTTTCCCGTGACGATTAGAGGTTTTAGAAACGAGAAGGTACGTGTGGTCAGGCATACATACGACTTTTCACCGACACCGAGGCCGGTATCGAACGTGGAACAGCCATAGGGGGCGAACGACGACGCGTGACGTTCGTGTGCCTCGTGGGACGCGCGATTCCGGGCAGAACAGTGATGGCCGCCGCGAGAAAGAGGCGCTTCGATCGAGCCTTCTCCTCGGTGACTGATCCGCCTGGACGCGCAGCCGAGTCGCTTCTTTCCGATACTTCGTCCGCGTATTTTTAATCCGTCGTTTGAGAACCGGCACGAGTCATTCCGCTCGCCAGTGTACCGCGCGCGCTTCTCGCCGCTCCGACTCGTTCTCGCCGCGCCTCTCGCTCTCTCTCTCTCTCTCTCTCGTGCCTGCGTGTAATTTTAAATAGGTCCGAGAAAATTTTGGAAAAACAGAGAAAAGGGAAAGACGTATATCGAGGAAGGTACCTGCGCCTCCGCTCGACGCACACGTCGATTCCATCGATACTGCACAACTATTTCGGTATGTGTTTACGACGAAGCGGCACTCGTGAATTTAAAGAATGACGCAATTGCTATACGCGTTCTCAAGGCGAATCATTAGCATTCTCCATGGAGTGTAATAGTCGGCTCGCAAATCGTGTCGATGCCTCGTTTCTACGCTCTATGGACGACTCGGCGTTTAATTACGTCCCGGCTGATTAAATTATCGTATCGATCACGCCACCGTTCCAACATTCGAGCCTCGTTGGCTCGTGATTCACCTTCGTTTCTTGGAAAAGTCGCCGCCATTCTAGATATCTCCTCATCGGCTGGGCTCGTCCAAGGCTAAGTACGGCACTGAGTCGCTCGAAAAAGCAAAGAATCATCGCTCCACTCGTGCCGATTGAGTAATCTCGGTGACCTTCGCCTAATCACGCGTGATGGCGTCGAAAATTTGCCTACGTTAGAAACTACTGCTTCTAACTACGTACACAGAAAACGTTCGCACCATTTTCTTTCTCTTCTGTCTGCTAATATTTTCCAATCGCGCGTTTCTTATTCGCGATTGGCTACGCGTCGCTCGGGCGATGAAACTGCGTTTTATCTGTAATTACCATTCTTTAATATTCCCTGACCAACTATACTCGTGGAAATATTTCGAATAGAACACGTCGAACGATTTCTGTCGGCTTATCGAGGAAACTCGATGAACGATATGCAACACCGGGAGGTCAAGACGATAAGCGTTTGCAAAAATAACTCGATTCGCAATTTTCCAGTTGCAAATAAATTTTCGATTTATGAATATTTACGCTTCGATTTCGCCGGTTCTCCGTCACGTTTCTACTCGTCGAAGCAACCTTGTCATCGCGATCATCGAGTAGCAACGAGTACACGATTCTTCCGTGACCCTGTCACGAGCAGAATTCACTTTTTCGTCGGGAAAACGTCCTTCGCGGTTACTTGGTTAATTCCTGACAAGAAAAGGAAAGAAAAAACCCGGACGAAAAAAGGAATAAAGAACGTAGAGTGTATTTATATATAACTCGGTTATCGGTATCGCAATTCTCATTATCTTCCTAGCAACAATCGATCGTTACGTAATGAAACGTTTCACGAGACGTTTATCGCGTCGCGAGTACAAGAACAATCGACTCGACAAATAACTGGCATCGACGGAATGGAGGAGCCTCGATAAAAATCGTTACTAATTATCCGTCGAAAAAGAACGCTGCGCTGACTAACGAAACAAACGAGATCTCGCGGTTCGGCGTTTAGGTTACCGGGTAATTAGCGTTTTTCCTTCCGCGTCCTCGCCATCGACAACATCGTGTCCAGAGAAGACACGAGGATTACGATTATCGCGAGGGAGTCGAGTCATCGCACGACGTGATGAAGCAACTCCAACGATCTCTGTGATTATTATGATAAACCAAAGACTGTACGTGACAAGACTCTGCACGATTCGAAAACTTCGTATGACGTATATCGAACACGGAACGAGTACTGCACGTGTTTCCAGATAGAATACGTAACTCGGAATGATCTAGAAAAATTTATAAATACAGGAATAAGTTCACCGATCGTGCAATCTTTTCTGAATGTCCCACGTTTGAAGAGAAAAAACGATTTGTATATACCGCGAGTTTCCTAGAATACCGGGAATGTAAGCGAGATCTATTCGTCGTTCTATCGATGCGTGTCAAGCGTGACAAAGGAAACGTATTTACGTTCCCTCTGTACGTCATCTCTTTTGCTCGAAAACACTGTTGCCCGAGGTACATAAATATTAATCGCTGGAGATGACACTGATCTGTAACGCAGCTGGCTTTAGGTGCAAGGAAGCACTGGCATTAAAACGCTGACCTGTACTTAACCCTTTGCACACGGGGATTTTTTCGTTAGAGAAAAATGGTTTTAAAACGTAAAAAGACGTAGAATTATTTTACTTCGACATTGCACGCATCGTTGGGTGATTTTAAATTTGACATGTTAATTAACATCGATATTTAGAATTTTATTAAATGGCGGTCGTCTCTCGAGTGCAAAACGTTAACCTCTGTTCCCATGTACGACACTCGCGTTTCGCCATTACTATAACGAATAGAAGGCTTTTGCATCGTTACGCGTTATTCCTTCCCTCGTTGACAATTGCTGGACCCTAGACAGCGATTAACTGCACGAATCAACAATATCTACTTTGCTCATACCAAACAATACAAGGACTATCTATGCGCTATTTATTCGCTTCTAATAAAACACACACGGACTCGATGGTACCGAATAAAAGATAAGATCGTCGTGTTGCGAGTACAGAACCGAACTTTCCGTCGCGAAAGCGCAACAGAACTTTAAACTCTCTTATCGCGTCCTATTCATCGTACACGCGCGTACACTCGCCGACAAAAGCCGGGAGAGAAAGATTCGCGGATTTTCGCGTGTTCTCCGTTCTCCGAGACGCGGAGACTACAGCGCGGAAATTGGCTCTCGAAACGAACCTTGTCTGCGAGTGTATCGACTGAACGCCTAATCTGCGAAGCGGGTAAGAACTCGACGATCCAACCTGATTCTCTAATTTCAGAATTCCCCTTGAAATCGAAGATCCGAACGAAAGGATGAGCAAGCAGTACACGAGGAGCGAAGTTGTCAACAGCAACAGCAAGGAGAAGATACTGATAATCCTGCACGACAAGGTGTACGATGTCTTGAGCTTCCTCAACGAGCACCCGGGTGGCGAGGAGATCCTGCTGGACCACAGAGGCAAGGACGGTTCCGAGGACTTCGACGACGTGGGTCACTCGAAGGACGCCTTCGACCTGATGTCCAAGTATCAGGTCGGCGAACTGATCGAGTCGGAAAGGTCCAACAACGCGCCCAAGCTGAGCTGGACGTCCGGCTACACGAAGGACGACAAGAACAAGGATCAAGGAATATCTCAGTCCGTGTTGGCCATCATCGTCGTCGTCCTGATCGCGATCGTCTACTACGTGTACTTATAATTTTAGCGAATAAGGTTCGTGGTCTTATGGGTTCTATAGAAGAAACGAAAGAGTGCGAGAAGAGAAATCGGCGACCACGTCCGAGCGTGATACAGACTATTGTGACTGTTTCTTCTTTCTTTTCCGCCTTCTTTCGATACTTATGTTACTCGAGTGCGGTGTTTGAACGTCGCGCGACGTTGTATAGTATCCTGCGACATCTTGTCTAGAGAAGCTCGTGCTCGTCGAGCCTGTTCGCCCGCTGGAAGCAACACCAGGGGCGTCTGCTGCTAGAGAAATTCTGAATGTTCACTTGTAAAATAGAAGTCGAAGCTACTTTTCCTGGGAATAAATCTTGGTAATTCTGCGAACTAGCGCGATACGTTTTCAGAGCTCTTTCGATCTTTTTCCGTTATCCTTTGTGCGCCTGTCTTGAGGAAATAAATCCTGTTTTTATACACACGCCTCTAATCGATAACCACCTAACGTCTTCTCGTCAGCTTTCTTCGATTAATTCCGATCCAGCTCGTTCCCTTCGTCGACTCTCGTCTTTTCCACCCCCCCCCCCCCAACATTTCTTCCAGACGATTATTCGCGAGAGGAGGAGAGCCGGTCATCTGTACCGTGATAGAAGAAAAATTACCAGTCCATCGATCGTATCCGTAAGCCTGTGTACGAGGCGGCTGATTGACCCGTGTTCGAACCGCAGGTTCTCCTCGACCAACTTAATCGTTAAATCGGAGTCGTTCCTAAGCGAACCATCGAGAAGAAGCCCGACGGGCATTTGCATTCGAATGGCTCGCATTACAAAAGCCTCGTTACAAGTTTTCAATGAGAGGAAGAAGCGGGATAGCGACGCGATCCGATCGATCGGGCCTCCTTTCGTTCCGCTGGATCTCGAGGAGACGTGCGCCTCTGTCTCCCCGCGCCATTTCCGCGCCGGTCCTCGAAAATTCGCCAATTTCTCGGCCAATGCCGGGGCGAAAACAAATTCGAGCACGCGGATCACGTAACGCTCGCGCAAATTAAATCTTGCTCGATCGCGCTCCATTTGACCGCGTAAATCGTTTAACTCTCTGCTCGCGGATTTGAATTCCGCGGCGAAAATTTAATACACCGAGATTGAGAATTTCGACCCCCCCTTTTTTGTTTTCCATTCGGCAAACGAGTCACAGCTATGGCACACTCCGTTAATCCGCGTAAACCGATTAAAGAAAATCGGCCGCCGAGTCGCTTTAAATAAAATGGTAATTGTCACCTGTACGCGCAGCTTGCTACTCGGGTCATTTCGACCTTATTGCCCCTCGAGCGAGCGGCAAACAGAAGCGACGAATAATTTGGTGGACTAATTGGTAGAAAATCAAAGGTATTAACGAACCGGGCCGATTGTCCGTGTCAACTGGAGCGGGAGAATTTAACAACGCGAGGAAGGTCGAAAGAGGGACGCGACATCGGAGGGCAGACGGGAATTGCCCAAGGAAGAGACGCCCGTGCCCCGTGTTCTCGCCAAATGGACAATTTTCGGCCGGGAAAATTTATTCGCGAGAAATTTGAAACATTTTGCGACCCGACGACTAAACTTGGCAGCGACTCGAGAGAGCGCCGGTCGATAAGATTAGACAAGGCCCAACGACATCGAGCGATCCTATCGTTCCGGTAATTGACGTGATAATTCGCGTGGAGCATGCGCAGTGGTATCTTTGAAACGCCGATATCTCGATCGTTTCCAACTTATTGACGTAATTTGAAAACACGATTACACGATGTATACGTATGTCCGTGATATAAATATACAACGTTTGTTTACCAAAGAACGATATCTCGCAGCGATCCTCGGCGCGGAATTTCTTTTATCCGACAAATTATATCATCGACGCATTTAACCCGCGAGGGTGAAAATCAAACGGCCCGGATAGCATTCTCTCTCCTGTATAGGAACCGAGTCGATAAATCCGTCTCGAGGATCCGCCTCGTAAAAAATCAAACCGATATTCCGGGGCATGTTGTTCCTCGTGGCTTCTTTTAACTTGCAAACGAATTTCGAGAGGAATAAAAAGCCACTTGGTCCGCCGAATCGATGTCAAGCGTTCGAGACCGACGAAATAGCCGAGATACCATCCTCCGTGAAACGAAGAATTCTTCGCCAGTCACAAAGGGTTGAAAGGTATTATTAAATATTCCCTTGGTAACCGAGTAAAGCCACTTAATCGACATGGGACGGGAATCAATGCGGTTTCCGATCGATTTTCCCCGTTTTCAAGCCCCAGACCCGTCCCACGATTATCCTTGTTTTTCTACCCGATTCCTCCTTCCTGTTTACCGTTGTCGTTACCCTCGCCACTCGCCGACCGTCTCTAATATCTTCGGGGAAATTCAATTACTTATCGTAACCCGCACGATCTTCCGGTTTCGCGGGGACAACGCGATTCGTGCCTTTGTTCTGCTCGTCATCGTTACGGTCGCCTTTGTTTCGCTCGTCATCGTTACTGTTAGCTTTTCCTTGCATTACGCGGGTAAAGAAAATCCGCGTGGTAATACACGTTGCTCCAGCCAAGTCGATAGACACGAACGCAACGTACGATTACGCGTTTGAAAAATAAAATTGTTATTCGATTTTAAACGCGTTCCCTGTCATAGGTGCCACGAGGTTCGAACCAACGCGATGCTTCTTGTTCTTCTATTAGACGATAATATTCCTTCTATGCGACGATAAACGATTAAAATCAACGTCCTCTTATTCGTCCCTTATCCCAGAAGATACCTCATTCCTGGCAATAGGATGGAGCCACGGGTGAACAGTGGAACCTTGAACGACAAGGAGTCGATACCGGACCACACAGTGGCCAAAAACCGGTCCTGCAACCTGTCAACTGTCCACGCGGAATTTTGAACGGAACACTCGCTTAATTTGCAGCCACTCTGCGCTATCCTTAGCAAAAGCTGCCGAACCGAGAGACATTAAACTTGGCGGAACAAAAGACGGGGGTAGGAGGAAAAGCAAGAGCGACCGCAAACCAGCTGAATGGGCTCGTTGCGTAACGACGATCCCTTGTTCCTCGGTTTCACTCGCGAAAGGAAGAAGGAAGCGGCCGAGAGAGGGTGGGCGGAAGATCCGGTGGAAGAG